TCCCTGTACCCGGTGTCCATCCCAGGCTGTTACTATCCCTGTACCCGGTGTCCATCCCAGCCTGTTACTATCCCAGTACCCGGTGTCCATCCCAGCCTGTTACTATCCCTGTACCCGGTGTCCATCCCTGTCTGTTACTATCCCAGTACCCGGTGTCCATCCCAGCCTGTTACTATCCTGTACCCGGTGTCCATCCCAGGCTGTTACTATCCCTGTACCCGGTGTCCATCCCAGGCCTGTTACTATCCCTGTACCCGGTGTCCATCCCAGGCTGTTACTATCCCTGTACCCGGTGTCCATCCCAGGCTGTTACTATCCGTGTACCCGGTGTCCATCCCAGGCTGTTACTATCCCTGTACCCGGTGTCCATCCCAGCCTGTTACTATCCCTGTACCCGGTGTCCATCCCAGGCTGTTACTATCCCTGTACCCGGTGTCCATCCCAGCCTGTTACTATCCCTGTACCCGGTGTCCATCCCAGGCTGTTACTATCCCTGTACCCGGTGTCCATCCCAGGCTGTTACTATCCCTGTACCCGGTGTCCATCCCAGCCTGTTACTATCCCTGTACCCGGTGTCCATCCCAGGCTGTTACTATCCCTGTACCCGGTGTCCATCCCAGGCTGTTACTATCCCTGTACCCGGTGTCCATCCCAGGCTGTTACTATCCCTGTAACCGGTGTCCATCCCGGCCTGTTACTATCCCTGTACCCGGTGTCCATCCCGGCCTGTTACTATCCCTGTACCCGGTGTCCATCCCAGGCTGTTACTATCCGTGTACCCGGTGTCCATCCCAGGCTGTTACTATCCCTGTACCCGGTGTCCATCCCAGCCTGTTACTATCCCTGTACCCGGTGTCCATCCCAGCCTGTTACTATCCCTGTACCCGGTGTCCATCCCAGGTTAGTGTTACTATCCGGTAAAATTCGTGTCCATCCCGCCTGTTACCCGTAATTCGTGTCCCGGCCTGTTACTATCCCTGTACCCGGTGTCCATCCCGGCCTGTTACTATCCCTGTACCCGGTGTCCATCCCGGCCTGTTACTATCCCTGTACCCGGTGTCCATCCCGGCCTGTTACTATCCCTGTACCCGGTGTCCATCCCGGCCTGTTACTATCCGTGTACCCGGTGTCCATCCCGGCCTGTTACTATCCCTGTACCCGGTGTCCATCCCGGCCTGTTACTATCCCTGTACCCGGTGTCCATCCCGGCCTGTTACTATCACTGTACCCGGTGTCCATCCCGGCCTGTTACTATCACTGTACCCGGTGTCCATCCCGGCCTGTTACTATCCGTGTACCCGGTGTCCATCCCGGCCTGTTACTATCCCTGTACCCGGTGTCCATCCCGGCCTGTTACTATCCCTGTACCCGGTGTCCATCCCGGCCTGTTACTATCCCTGTACCCGGTGTCCATCCCGGCCTGTTACTATCCCTGTACCCGGTGTCCATCCCGGCCTGTTACTATCCCTGTACCCGGTGTCCATCCCAGGCTGTTACTATCCCTGTACCCGGTGTCCATCCCGGCCTGTTACTATCCCTGTACCCGGTGTCCATCCCAGCCTGTTACTATCCCTGTACCCGGTGTCCATCCCGGCCTGTTACTATCCGTGTACCCGGTGTCCATCCCAGGCTGTTACTATCCCTGTACCCGGTGTCCATCCCAGCCTGTTACTATCCCTGTACCCGGTGTCCATCCCAGCCTGTTACTATCCGTGTACCCGGTGTCCATCCCAGCCTGTTACTATCCCTGTACCCGGTGTCCATCCCAGCCTGTTACTATCCCTGTACCCTGTGTCCATCCCAGCCTGTTACTCTCCGTGTACCCGGTGTCCATCCCAGCCTGTTACTATCCCGGTGTCCATCCCCGTTACTAGTGTCCATCCCGGCTTGTTACTATCCCTGTACCCGGTGTCCATCCCGGCCTGTTACTATCCCTGTACCCGGTGTCCATCCCAGCCAGTGTCCATCCCAGCCTGTTACTATCCCTGTACCCGGTGTCCATCCCAGGCTGTTACTATCCCTGTACCCGGTGTCCATCCCAGCCTGTTACTATCCCTGTACCCGGTGTCCATCCCAGGCTGTTACTATCCCTGTACCCGGTGTCCATCCCAGGCTGTTACTATCCCTGTACCCGGTGTCCATCCCAGCCTGTTACTATCCCTGTACCCGGTGTCCATCCCAGCCTGTTACTATCCGTGTACCCGGTGTCCATCCCAGCCTGTTACTATCCCTGTACCCGGTGTCCATCCCAGCCTGTTACTATCCCTGTACCCTGTGTCCATCCCAGCCTGTTACTCTCCGTGTACCCGGTGTCCATCCCAGCCTGTTACTATCCGTGTACCCGGTGTCCATCCCAGGCTGTTACTATCCGTGTACCCGGTGTCACATGAGGGGCCCTGTAGTTAGGTGCGTGTGTGTCATCCCTACCCAGTTTGGGTATGAGGATTATGTTGGCTAGTGCCATGTCTGCATCGGGCATACCCCCCCTGCAGAAAATGGTTGCATAAGTTAGTGAGATGGGGGGTAAGTGCTTTACAGAATGTTTTGCAATATCTGACATCGTAGCCGTCAGGTCCCGGGGCTTTATTCTCTTTAAGTGCTGTAATAGATACGTCTACTTCAATTTGTGTTATAGGTACCTTAAGGTCTTCTGCATCTTCCCCCGTCACTCCCGGCAAGGTCAAGTTTTTCCAGGAAGTCATGCACATTGTCGCTATTTAGGTGGCGGGAGTGATTATACAGGACTGTGTAAAATTCCGTAAACACTTTGTTGATATGTTGTGGTGTGTTGGCTAGTTCGCCACAAGGGGTGCGAATTTTCGTGATTGGCTTGTAGCCGCCTCTGGGCCTAAGAGTTCTGGCTAATAGGGTGTCCATTTTGTTCGACTTCTTGTAGAACAAAACGTTTGGATCATGTAAGGGGGCAAGCAACTCCCTCCTGTGCTAGTTCTTTAATATACTGTCTAAGTGCATTTATGTCAGGGAGTTTGGAGTGTGTGGGGTTAGATTTGTGCTGTTGTTCAGCTCTACGTAGAGCTGTTTGTAGATTTGTTAAGAATTCAGTTTTTCCCAGTATGTGGTCTCTTTAATAAAGTGTCCTTGCACCACTGTTTTATGGGCTGCCCATACTGCTGTTGGGCTCACCTCTGGTGGGTCGTTTAGTGTGAATTAATCCTTGAGGATTAAGTCAATCTTGCGGCAGATTTCTTTGTCGTCAAGGAGAGTGGTGTTTAGTTTCCACGACCAATTTGTGGAGTATTTGAGCCCACCAAGAGTGATGGAGATGTCGGCGTGGTCTGACCACGTTATGCTATTAATATCCGACTGTAGGACCTTTGTCATCCCGTGCCCATTTAACAATAAGTTGTCTATTGAGTATGTGTCATCTGGTGCAGAGTAGAATGTATAATCCCGCATGTCCGGGTGCTGGGGCCGTCACGCGTCTAGTGGTCCCGTGTTAGAGAGGAACGTGTGCATAAGTTTCTTGTGCACCCCTGCCCTGGGATCTGGGTACCAGGGGGAACAATTTAGGCCTCTGTGCTTTGGGCCTGGCGGAATTGTGACAGACAGTCTCCGAAGGAAAGATTCTGGCTCCGCTCCCGGTAGTAAAGTGTGGGACTTGCCAGCTCGGAAGGCCACCAATTTGAAGGGATGACCCCAGGTATAACGAATGTCGTTCTGACGCAGCAAGTCCGGTATAGGTTTCCATTCTTTTCGAGGTGGCTGGGGATAGATCCTTGTATATAGAGATTTCCACATCCCTGTACTGTAATGTATTGTCCCTGCTATATTTCACAATAACCTCCTTGGTTGCGTAGTAGCGAAAGCGGATAATGACGTCACGGGGAGCGGCTCCTTCAGCCCTCCTGGTCCTTAGCGCTCTGTGGGACCGGTTATATCAGGAAGGAGGTGTTTAAAATAGTCCTGTGCCTGTGCTAAGGGGCCCCTCCTCGGGGAGGCCTTTCACCCGCAGGTTGTTGCGTCTCTAGCGGTTGGATAAATCCTCCATCATCATTTTGAGGCTGTCTATTTGGCGTGCCATTGCTTCAGAGTGTATCACCACTCCATTATGCGCCTCCACAATGGTTTCCACATGCTGTTCCAGATCTGCTGTCCGGGCCCCCAAGGCCTGTATCTCTGATTTTACTTCTTGGGTGTTTTGTGTCATCTCCCATGCCAGGTAAGTTTTGACTTCAGCGAGTTTCTGGAGGATTTGTGCTGCAGGTCTGGGTTATTTCCCTCTCACACCAATGCTGGGGAAAGTGAGCCGTGTGGGCTTGCATGGCAGCCATCTTGCGGGAGCCGCGCACAGCCGCAAACTGCTCCATGACCGATAGCGCTGATACCCCTCGCTCTCCATGCTTCCTCCGTGGCTGTTTCGCTCCTGAGCCCGTATCGGGCATTTCTAGGTGTGTTTGGGACGACCACGGGTCCTGGTGCTGCTGGCAATTGCTATTTTCATAGCGGCTGAGCGGAAATTTTGAGACAAAGCAGTCATTAAGGTCGACGTCCAAACCACGCTCTCTAAATTACTTTAATTTTGTACTCTCAATCAAACCTCTCCTGGCTGTGATACAGCCTTCCTTTATATTGCCTGAATAAGTTCTTATTTCATACTGTTACTTGCCTACTAGCACAAAGCAACCTTCTGACAAAGTAGGAAGAAATCAAAACTTAACACAAAAAAAAAAAAAAAACACACTACTTTAAAACCTTCAAATCGGTGTGTACTAACAGAGAAACATTTTGGAACCTATTCCAGTACAGTAAACATTTTATAACCTGTGTGTGCGTGTATTTTAAAATACTAAATATATTCCAAACTGGGTAGAATGGGGATGCCCCACGTGGCTAGTTATAGACTGGCAACCCTACTGGTCCAGGAAGTAAATCTCCACACAGCCAGAGGAAGCTTGCAATGGGTTGACTTAGAACGAGGACAATGGCCCAACGACTCTTTATTGGCATATCTGTGGTCTCCCTATCTAAACGGGAGAAGGCTCACACCCTCTTTCACACCCAACAAAATGGCCATTTTTGCATGGGACAAGACCAGAAACCCCTCAAATTCCATAGATTAGCTCCCCTGCAGGCCCTACCCTCAGTTTTACCATTGTTCCCACTGGTCTATTGGGAACAGGAAGGTATTACTAAAATCTCCCAACTTTTGACGGGTGATAACGTTACCCCTTTCATGTCACACCCACCTGGAGAGTCGTGGAGCGGATGGAACCCAATTTGCAGCGGAACAGATCTCCCTTACTATCACGACCCTTAGGAGCACCTGGAAGTGGAGACAGGGTCCCAAAGGGTCTGTGGTGGCGTGGAGGCCTTTAATAAAAAATAATACATTTCCAGAAGGCAGCAGCAGGAAAAGCAAACGAAAATGCAGTCTTGCAGCAGACAGAAGTAAACAATTAATCTGGATCTAGGTCAGGAAGCAGGCTGTAGCAGTTGTCCAAGGAATCAGGAAGTAGAAACCAGGAACAGAAGCTGGAGCAGGAAAAGCAAACAAAAATGCAGTCTTGCAGCAGACAGAAGTAAATCTGGATCTAGGTCATGAAGCAGGCTGTAGCAGTTGTCCAAGGAATCAGGAACTGGGAACAGAAGCTGGATATTAGGACAAGAGGCAGGTATAATGCAAAAAGCTAAATAACCAAGCACTGACTGGAAGGTGTGCTGGGTTTAAATAGGTAGCTGGGATCAGATGACCGGCCACCTCCCACCAGTAGGTGGGGCACACAGATGTTCTATAAAGAGGTCAGGGACTCGGCGCCATCTTGTTTTATTCCCTGGTCCCTGACCTGTTCCTCCCCAATGGATCTCTCAGGAGCAGTGAGAACTGCGATTCTGCCGCATGGGCGCCCAAGGGCAGGTGAGTAACCTCGCTGTGCCATTACACTTCACAGATTTACAAAAGATGTACCACCTACAACCCCGATCTGTATTTCAGTACCTCCAAATTAAGTTTTGTTTTGTTAGGTTATGTAGACAGAGATGTGGAGGAGTAAGGAGTGTGAAACAGGAGCTTTTACTTCATTGCTGGAAAACCCCTCTAAGACCAAAGCTCTAGACTTGTGCAATTTGTTTAGTTCCGAATGTTTGTAAATGCCGAACCGAACGAAAGCGCCAAAGTGAAATGAATGCCATTGGTCTGAATTGCCGAAGCAGACAAATTTTTTTTACGTAAACGAATTACGTAAACGAATTTCAGAACCGAACTGAATTTTTTTCCCCATGCACATCCCTACCAAGCTCCTTTCACTGTTACAAAGCATTGTCAACTCACTCAGACTCCCAATGCACATAATTTATGTCTCAGTAGGAAAAGGAAAAACGGCTAACGCTACACCCTACTAAGTAGTCCACCTTAGTTAACGCATTAGCAGGACAAACAGTGTGCCAATCCAACATAGAGGAAACTAATGTACAGATGGTACAGGCAGGCATAACAGAATATAACCTAATACCTCGGATAAGTGCTGGAGATGTCACACGCAGAAATGCACGGTGCTCCACATATGGTGGGGCTGTATATGTATTCAACCATTATGGTCACTGGTTCCTAAATTACTTAACAACATTGGCATTACCATTGCAGCCGGGGTTAAGACCTGTCTATGGCTAGACCTTCCCGTCCATTGGACTTTGCATGAAAAAACGCTGGTTGCGCAGATAATATTAGCAGCCAGAGCCCTTATCGTGCTTAATTGGAAATCTAATAAATGCCCCACTGGGGCAAACCTCATAGACAGGATTCGATTAAATTACGTTTTAGAATTGGCTTCAGCTGTGTCATCAACACAAAAAAAAAAATCTTTCTCATATATATATATATATATATATATATATATATATATATATATATATATATATATGAGAGATTTTTTTTTTATATTTTATATTTTTTTTTTATATTTTTATATATATTTTATATATATATAGGAACTATGCTGCCGATACTATTAATTCAAACCCCCATAGATCCAGGAAGGGGGAGAGGAGGGGGGGGGGGCAACGGGGCAATTGCCCACCTTCCCCGAGATTCTCCCCTGCCGGCTAATGCAGGGCTGGCATTGTCCAGAGCTCTCCCTCCCCGGTCCACAGGCCCTGTGCTGACAGCCTTCAGGGGAGGGAGAGAGGACCCGGGAGCTCAGCCTGCAGCTCCTCCTCTCGTGAGCACGGAGCGTTGCTGTGGTTACCACGGCAACGCTCCGGATCTCGCAAGTGAACTCTAGCCCTGGAGCTGCAGGCTAGAGTTCACCTCACCACCACCGGATCACCAGGGATCGAGATATGTCCCCCATCATCCTCAATAAAGGTAAGAAGGGAGGGGGGACATAAATGTATTAATTTTATTAAATAAAAAAATGATTATAAAGCCTTCCTACCCTCCTTCCCCCATACACACACTGCCCCACAAACACTTCCCCTCATACACACACTGCCCCACAGACACATACACTGCCCCTCCATACACACACGACCCCCCCCATACATACAGTGCCCCCATACACACACTGCCCCACAAACACTGCCCCCCCATACACACTGCCCCCCAAAACACACACACTGCAACCCTGACATACACTGCCACCCTCACGCACTTCACTGCAACTTTCATACACACTTCACCCCTCACATATACCACTGCTCCTATGCCCTATATCCCAGCAGACCCCAGGTAAGATGTCAAACTGTTCTTAAACGGTTGACTACTCTGGGATGGGATCCTGGCACTACTGGCACCATAACTACTACACTGAGCTGTAGTGGTTATTGTGCCTGGATTATTTCTTTAAATAATCTACAAGTGCCCCTCCCGAGATCAGGCTCTGGATCTGCCACTGCTTAGACCTCCCCCTTAGGGGGTTCCCTACGTTTGAAAATAGCAGGGAATACACCATACCCAGGTGGCCCACACGCACGAAACACTAATAGTCTTACAAACAAAACATCCACAGCGGTGTATATAGGACTGGGATTTAGTATATGGGGAGGACTGGGATTTAGTAAAGGGAAGGGATTGGGATTTAGTACGTGGGGGACAACGACTGTGATTTAGTAGAGTGGGGGGACTGGGATTTAGTACATGGGGGACGAGGATTGAGATTTAGTACATGGGGGGACTGGGATTTAGTACATATATGGGGGGACTGGGATTTAGTGCGTGGGGACAACAACTGTGATTTAGTAGAGTGGGGGGACTGGGATTTAGTACATGGGGGACGAGGATTGGGATTTAGTACATGGGGGGGGATTGGGATTTAGTACATGGGGGCGAGGACTGGGATTTAGTACATATGGGGGGAGACTGGGATTTAGTAGAGGGGAGGATTGGGATTTAGTACATGGTGGGGACTGGGATTTAGTAGAGGGAGGATTGGGATTTAGTACATGGGGGGACTGGGATTTAGTAGGGGATGCTGAGGTTTTTTTTTTTTTTTATACTGTACTTTTCAAAATAAACCTATGTTTCTATGAAAATTTTATTTTTATTTATTTTTTTCGGCCCTCATAAACGTAAACCTTGTTTATTTGTCCTGTGCTAGACTTTGAGTTTGACATGCTTGATATATGGTGTCCCTATTTCTGTAACCTGTAACTTTGAACACCCTTCTTTTGTGTCTGTACCCTGATACCTTTTTTGTTATTGAAAAATTAATAAAGACTAATTGAAATAAAATAATAATATATTCATGTGTTTGTTCATAGATGCCTGATGTGCTATTGTGCTTAGCCTTAGGGTCTATAAAAAGAAAAGCACCCGAATTGACAATTTTCAGCATGAACAAGCAGCTGGACACCTGTAGCTGCAAAAATAAAAGGTAGGATTTTATAGACTTAAAAAAATTATTCTGAAAAAGGTAAAGGGACAAAAAACATCACTGTTTAGTAGATATGCCCCAAATGAAAACTTGTATGGTACCTACATACAGATACACACATACATTGTATCTGTGTATATGCATGCGTGTAATTGTGCATTTTGCATTGGAGTTATATCTAAAGACAGCGTGGAGAAGCTGCAGATTTCTTGGCTGCAGCTTTTGCAAGCTCTCCCCTTCTAACCCCGCCCATACTTTCTATGATTGTCCAATCACAGACTTCCCAATGCAGCTCAATGAGAAGTCTTTGCAAGGCAGGTGCTCTGGGCAATTGCTGCCTCTTGAAGGGAAATATAGTGCCAAAGCTGTTTTTCTAGCACTAGGGCTGGCCCATCCATAGACCGCCGTGGTGCCACGGCTCCAGGCGGCACTCTGACCGCCCAGGTCATAATCTAAATTAGGAGTTCCCAACCCATGGTGGCAGTGCAGCAGCACCGCACAGGTTGGGAACCTGTGTGAATATCCATATGGGTGCCCTTAGGGCCACCCGATGGACATATGCAATGAGGGGCCCAGTCATGCGATGTGGCGCTTTAACAGCGCAACCGGGCCCCTTCTATACGCATTGAGAGCTGGGAGGAAGTGACAGCCTCTCACTTCCTCCCAGCTCACTCACACTGAGAGCCTGCCCCCAACTCCCACCAGCCACAGCCAGCAGAAGGTAAGAACCTGCTGGGTGGCTTAATTTTTTTTTTAATGTGTGTGTGTGTGTGTGTGTGTGTGTGTGTGTGTTTGTATGTATATTGTTAGTATTTAAAAAAAAAAAAAAAAAATTCCCAAGTGTATTTTATGTCATGTGAAAGATATCTAAAATCCATAACTATGATATTTATATTATTTCAGGATATTTTTAACTATAAACAAAGTACAATATAATATGTGATCTAAAGTCATACAGCTCAAATATTCAACTACTTAAAGAACATTATAGCGTTGGGCATAAAAGATGCATTCCTACCTATAGGTGACTACATAGAACTGTGCTTGATCTCTCAAGCTTTTATTGCAAACTATTTTTGTTGCAGTCTGTAAACAAAGCTGCATTCTTGTGCCTAAATAGATCAGTACAACATGAATTAACCATTATGTTGGTAGCATTATTTGGTAGTACTGTGAAGGTTATGATTCTGAAATGTTCTTAGTATTTAACTGAAAACGGCATCATTACACAAGAAAGAATGGCTTGTTTTAGCTAATCCCATTATTAGGAAATACAACTCAAACCGCATATCTGAAGTATATAAGCCCTCCAAACATTTAGCTTTCCGTTTTAACTAGAGGTAAACTACAAGCAGGCAGTGCAAGAATGACATAGGATAAGGTAAAGTGAAAACAGTGCAATGGGAAACGTAAAACGATCAATCGGATTTAAAACACAGCAACTTTCAAACATTTACAGAATCAGCTTCCACATCTGCAAACCTTCACATTCTATGTGTATCTGTGTAGTGTGTGTATATCTGTATGTAGTGTGGGTATCTGTGTTTGTATGTGTGTAATGTTTGCAGTGTGTATCTATGTATGTGTAGTTTGTGTATACTGAATGTGTGTGTAATGTGTATCTGTATATCTGCAGGCTGTGACGAACTGAGCCTTGACACGTGTTCTTGGAGGGGCCTGCTGGCCAGCCTTTTACCAAAAGACTATGGGCCCTTAACAAAAAAAAAAAACACTATGAGAACAGACTTCGTGGGATTTTATATTTGGTTTGGGAACCGAACAGCTGCACGAACTGGAGACCGCCCTCCTCCGCTTGTTAAGCCTAATTGCTACTTTGTAGCAATTGCAACCGCAGTGTGCCAAGTGTTAGTCTAGGTGGCCCCAATTCCAATGGACAACCACAAGGTGGCGGTAATCTTGTTCACATGAAAACAGGCAATGGTGTTTGGTCATCAAGTTCATGGAACTGTTTTTGGACACTGAAACTCCCGAACACTGTTGGACTTCCATGATCATCTGTGTTCGGTTTTAGAACACTTGGGAAGACACTGTTCGGTGGAAACATTTCCACAAACAAGGGGATCAAGCTCCAGGGTAAGACTATTGACTATGTTCGGTAGTTTTTTTTTTACCGATCTAGACTGACTGCAAGACCTGATTCTCTGGAACTGTTTTGGGCATGGGACCATGCAGGCAGTTGGTCAAATTACGACTTCCAGCAAATTCCTGAACTGATCTGGGTGATTTTTGGATATGTTGGTTATCTGGTTACCCAGATCAGGGCTATCAGGGGATGTAACTTTTGTGGGGATTTTGTGTTTAAGGGGCCCAAGGTTTCCCAGCAGAACATTGCACAAAGCATAAGACTGCTTCCATCGGCTTGTCTTTTCATATTGCATCCTTCTTCCATCTCTGCCCCAGGTAAACCCACTGCCATCCAGCTGATCTTAAAGAAAACACAATTCACCAGACCAACCTTCTTCCCTGATCCAGTTTGATGCACACTTCCCTGGTGAAGGTGCTTTTGCCAGTGACTAGTCTTTAACAAAACAGCCGTATACCAGCAATTTGAGCTAAACTAGCTTTTCTGTGTGATCAGATCAGACGGGCTAGCCTTTGCTACCCACATGCATTAGTAAGCATTGGGCACCCGTTGTCCTTCCTTGAACCACTTTTTGTATGTACTAACCACTGTATACCAGGATCATCCCACAGGTCTTGCAGTTTTGGAAATGCTCGGACCCAGTCTAGCCACAACTATTTGGCTCTTGTCAATTAATTTACATATTTTCGCTTGCCTATTTTTCCTACTTCTAACTAATGAAATTCAAGAAGTGACTGTTCACTTGCTGCCCACTAGATCCCACCCATTGACATCTGCCATTGTAATATTATAATAAATGATATTTACTTCACCAATCAGTGGTTTTAATGTTGTAATTGATCAGTGCATCACACATTTTTGTTGACCAGGACTCCATTAAAACAAAAAATAAAAATTCCCTCAATTAATTGTCATATTCCGGATTTGTCCCTCACATTAACATACCTCCACATTCTGAAGATGCATGCTCTAGCATATACTGAATTGATGCCATACTGCCCATTTAGGTGATTGTGTGTACAAAAAAGGTGTAGCGCTTACATACAAATAAGAGTTTGTTGAACCAGTTAAGGGGGTATATTTCACAGTAGATACAGCAAGATAGGTATGTTTTATCTGGAGTGTACATAAAAAAATTAGTTGAAACTCCACTAGTGATACTGTTGTATGTTAAATATTAATATATTTAGGAGAAACTCACATTCTCCTGAGCTATACGCCAAGCTCAGGGATAAAGGTATGTAGGTCCGTAAAAGGGACTTTCCCCTTCTTCAGGTTGGATGGTCCTATGCAGTATGTTCTAGGGGTCAAAAAAAAAAATTATATGGTGCACTATATCTTGTAACCAGTGATCCAAAATTAGTAGTAAACAATATACTCAAAAGGTGGAGCCTATATGTCGGCTCTATCACAGCACATTGTGTAGTTAAGTACTACACTCCTATATGCAGGAACCAATAGCCCGGATATATAAGCAAAATAACTTATTATAGATCTTAAATAAAATTCTAATGGCCAATTAGAAAAAAAAAAAAAAAATCAGAATAAAAACTATCCCAAAAAGGGATTAAAAGATATATAAATAACATAACAAGGGCATAAAGGTAATCATGTGAAATTTCCAGGACGCGTTTCGCCATAATCCAATCGGCTTCCTCGGCTGGGTGAAATACAGTGTGACCAGTATATATTCTCTATCTTTTCTTGTGATTATTTGTGTGTGCATAGTCACACCAGAGAGACGGGCAAGCTTTGGGTGCGACTCGCCAGGAGCCTCCACGTGAAATCATTTTCAGAGAGGATTCTTGCATGAAACAATACACAAAACCAACAAGCCAAATACCACCCTCCCAAAATATCATGATCAAATAAATACTGAAACAAAACTATTTAAAAATACATTTTTATTAGCCTCTGGGAAGTGAAGAAATGTTTCTTATAAGAGTCTGGAATCTGTCACTGAATGCTCCATTTAACAAAAGATGAAAAAATAACGTCAGAATTATTTTATTAAACTTTTATTCTGCTTTCAAATAACCCCCGTGTTTTATTAGCAGGATGTTCAAAAAAGAATTACAATGTTTTTGAAGTACAAAAAAAACAAAAAAAAGCCAACCTTGAGAAGTCATTCAGACTCTAGAACAAGAATTGCCAAAAGAAATTCACACAGATGCATGAAATACAACTCCCACAAATCTCAGACTAGCTGAGAGTCATGTGACTTCGTTCTGCAGGACTGTCACTTGTGGCAACAACCACAAAAAAAAAATCCCATCACAGCAGAGGTATTACAGTTCAGTTGAAGAGGCTGGTGACATAGCAGAACACAATAAAATACTTTCATGTGTTAGAACACTCCACTTGTACCATGTTTTCATGATTTGCACCCTATGTGGAAGCATTGAAGACATGCAATAAGTCAGTAAATATTTATGACAAGGCAGCCAACCACCGTCACTTTGTAAGAGTAATCTAGTTTTAAATGAATGGTGGTGTGCTCTGGTATGTTCTCCTGTATCCCTAAAGACCGTAACAACCCAAATTAGCATGTTCATGTAAATAAACGGCTGATATCACAATTGCAAAAAAAAAAAAAAAAGTGCCCCAGAAATTTGTGATAACGTTTTCAGCATGTTTTTGCAAACAAAACTACATTAAATCAATAAGTTGGTCTCTGGCAGATATCTGAGCAGGGAGACCCTTCCATTAACTAGAGGGTTAGTGTTGTGACCTTTTTGGAAATCAAGTTCCCTCTGCCTGCAGCATGCTTAGCCAATAATCTGGGAAGTGGAGCAGGCAACAGCCAAAAAGATTGTAAGTACAAAAGCAGTGATTGTTCTAAGAGAAAAGAAAGATTTATGGTTTAAAGAAGAGGCCGTTCGATAGCAAATTCTGATGTATATTTACAGGGCATGCCATGTTTGGCTGGTCAAGTGTATGCAACTAGATAATTTCCAGAGGGGTTTTATTTTAAGTACTTATGTAGCACTGATTTTTAGTTTTGTACCAATTTCATTTTCATCAATACAACTTTATCAAATTACAGTTAGATTAACATATTGCTGCATGTATAACATTTTATAGAAATCTGTATCCATGCTATACTATAGGCACCAAAAAAATGAAGCCGTTTTGGTGTATACATCATGGCCATGCATTCTTCACAGCTCAATTCTCTGACATTTAGAAGTTAAGTCACTTTTCGGTGTATGTAGTTCTAGCCACACCTCCCCTGGCTGTGACTCACACAGTCTACATTTTCAATCAGGTCTTAAAAACTTACTTTTTATGTTGAGGTTTTTAGCTGCTGCACCGTAAACTGAACTTACGCACAGGAGGCTCCTGCAGGCTATATAAAGAGCAGGAGATAAATCTAAATTAAACAGAATGTGCAATAAAGGAAGTTTAAACATTTCACAGATTACAGGAAGTGTTTAGGGGGACTCTGCAAGTCACATGTACGGAGGTGTAACTAAGGCTGCATGAACAAAGCTAATTTAACTCTTAAATGGTAGAGAATTGAGCGCAGGGACATTATATATACACACCAAAATTTCTTTATTAAGCCAAAGTTAATTTGGTACCTATAGTATTCTCATAAAGCAGGCTTCCCCAAACTCCGGCCCTCCAGATGTTGCTGAACTACAACTCCCATGATTCTCTGAATAAGAGATAGGCTGAGAATCATGGGAGTTGTAGTTCAGCAACATCTAGAGGGCTGGAGTTTGGGGAAGCCTGTCTTAAAGGGATCTTCCCTTTAATAGTAGCCACACTTTCAAATACATACATTTCCCTGTTTACTAAGGTCACTGTGAAAAGAGTCAAGTTTCAGCACCTGCTCAGACATCTGTACCAGAGGAGACCATCTTACAAATACAAAGTATGGAATCACTGTATGGGAGTTCAGATAGATTCAATATTTCATTTAATGTAAACTTTGTAATAACATACACTACTAGAGGCCTTATCAAGGTTAAGCCTTTAAAGAGGAACTATTACTTAAAAAAATAAATATGTAGTATATAAGAAAATATGCCACAGCGCTACATTTCAGTACTGACACTTTACTGGTTGTACTTCACTCGTTTTTGCGACTTACAGAATTAGAAATTTAAGTGCAGTCACAAAGATAAGGACGTTTTGTAATAGTTCCCATTTAAAACACATTTAGCTCATTTTTGGCATATGCAAAGGTAGATTACAACTTTCAGAACAGCTGCACCCCAATGGCTGGAGGTCTAAGGAACACCAATTTCGTTTTTTGTCCTAGGAACACAGTTAATCTCCTAACAGGTTTTACACAGACACTACAGAATGGAAAACTAAAACTCGCCTTCCATAGCAGGATGTGCTCTCTAATGGATCCAGTATTTAATTGAAAAAAAAAAAAAAAAATGCATTCTTATTTTAAACCTTTTCTCTAAAAATAAAATAAATATAAACAAAAAAAAAAGGAAACAAATTAAAGACATCCTACTCTTTGGATCCTCAATTCTCTTGTAGTATTCATACAAAAATGCCTCTGCTGATTCTAGATAATAATTTAACCCTTTTCTACACTGTAGAGGCTTGCAAACAAGTGCAGGTGGAAAAGGAGCAGTCTACATACATGCAAGTTGGCAACAAATTATGTATATTCTGGGAGTCACTTGTGGCTTTAGGACCTAAACATTTTATTTTGTAACCTGCTACTTACTATAATACGGGGAACTTCAGCACGAGAAATATTCTTACAAATTCTGTTTAATACATCTGCACCTAACGCAGTGTGAAACTTTAATTGAATTCACATATAATATGTTCTAGTGAAGAATACAAACAAAGAAACCTGTCGTTTTAGAAACTGAGTTGGTATTCACAATTAAAGCCAACTAGATTTTAAAGGCTTTTATCAGAAACTTGGCCAAAGACATACAAACTATGAGCAATCGTAGCATAAGGTCAGTTAAGAAACACTTAAAAAATGTATTTGTCTGTCTCTAGAAATTGTAAATCAAATGGAAAAACCCCAAACTAGACCAGAGGTTTTTTACAATATCAACTTGCATAACCCATTATATGTGCTGCTGACTACAAAGGCTTTTGCTTTTTTCCTTATTTTTGTATTTTTTTTTTTATAGCTGTACAAAGCTGTTTCTTTGGCAGTAGGAATATATTGGAATTTTACAACTATATAAAATAGTTATTTGCCCAAGAAACAGCATAACATGTTAATGCTTCATGTCATGCATTCCAAAAAAAAATAAAAAATACACCATCTCATGTGCTGCTAATAAAGATCTTGTTTGGGAGGTCCCTAGAATTCAGTCATCTCCCACAAAAATAAAATTTATATAGTTATAGAACAAAAAAAATAAAAAATTAAAACCTTCATCAGATCAAAGCTCACAGTATCGACGGCTCTCAGAATACTTTGTCGCAGCAGCTGAAATGTGTACAAAAAAAAAAATCCTCCGTATTGAGAAAAAAAACAAAACCACAAAAACCTCAAATCCCATTGCAGTACTGCCGTTTGTATTTTTGATAATGTATACATACCAAAATGAGTTATTCCGTCTTCTTTTGCAAACATGTTTAATGCTCAATATTATCAAAAATGGCCATTTTCAGTTTTCAAAAAAAGAAACAAAATACAGAACTGCTCTATTTGTCCTTTAGTGATGCAGAGCCCACCCGCCATCAGAAAGCTGTAGGCAAGTAGGACCCTACAACACTGAGGGAGTTAAGTCAGGCAGTTTGATTCCCAGTGCTGGTGACAAAAATGTACAGCAAATTAATTTCATTCTTCACAAAGACTGAAAACAAGTTCTCTGGACCGCAAAGATTTAAAAATTAAAAATCCATTTTCACACCGCATCAGCCATTACTAGGCAGCCACCTTGTTGTCCTTCTGAAAAAAAAAAAATAAAAAAAAAATAAAATTACAAAATGCAAAGTTAACAGAAATGACTCCAGCATTAACGCTTTCCCTGGCAGCGGGACTAAAAGTGAGGGGGAGAATTTTTATTTTTTTTGAATGTATGTTTTATTTTTCTGATTTGTTTTAGGTTTCATTAACAGGAAAAGGGTTATATTTATCAAATATCTGTAAAGAAACGTTTCATATTAAAACAGGTCTTTTTTATTCACTAAACACTTATGATGTTATTCACGAAAACAAATGAGTATTTGGAAGCTTACTGAGGAATTGCAAAATGAAGCTCAAAGTGAACAGTCAGCTATGTTTGCAGCTCAGCTGGAACACTGCAGATTCTGTAACGGCTTCAGCTCGTTGAAGTGGTTATAGTGTCTCGAGTCCCCAGGTGCTCTCCTTGCATTCAGTGATAAACGGTTTTAAATGGGTCCCCAGCAACCCATCCCCTCTGTGCTGCTCAGGCTAATGATTAAACATTGAAGATAGGATGAAAGCAGTCATCCTAATCTTAGCTACACATCCAGTAGGGGCCAGTCTGGTTAGCCAGGGACTCTCATGCAATGTTAAACTGCTCGAAAATAGTTTGAATGGAGAAACAGTGCCAGAGGACTCTAGGCACTATAACCAATTCAATGAACTAAAATAATTGTGCCTAGCGTGTCCCATTAAATTTACAAATTCCCTAAAGAATTCCTGACTATGAACAGGTGAGCCACCCCAGCATAAACCTACAATTTTTATTTTCTGTCCCTATAACATGTAATTCTGGGAATGAATTTCCATCGGGCTTCCTGGTGAATAAAATTAAGTTTAACATTTTATATTTGTATTTAAGATTGTGCTAATGCTACAGAAAGGCTTCAAAAATGCAAATTGACAGCACTGGCCTTTAAATGAATTGTAAGAAATAATCTAAAGCAAGAAATATTATATAAAATGTGAACTCTGCAGAGTTTAAAAAGGCAGGCTGTAGCAGCAGGACATTTTCATTAAGTAAAAATAGAAAATGTCTGGCAGGAAATTTTTGTTCAATCCACCAAAATTTGCACTACTTGGACGTTAATTTGTGATAGGTGCAACATTGTTACTGAATCTTAGAAAAAGTCACTGTAAATTTGGTTAAGACAAACCCTGTATTCGTAATCTGCAAATTCTCTGCCTCCGCGACTGCTTCTGTAACCGCCTCTGTAACCACGAGGTCCTCCAAAAGCACCAGGCGCTCCTCTTCTTTCACCACGCCCTCTTCCACCTCGGTATCCCATGCCGTTGCCTCTGCTACGGAAACCTCCACGCCCTCTGTTAGAACGCAGAGGAACTCCAAATGTCTCTGCATTTAGTCGCCTTTCCTCTGCCCATGTTGGCCTTCGATCTCTGCAAAGTGGGGAAACAAATTTGATTTGTAAAGACTTGCTGCACACAAACGCTCCATATTTCAATTATTCAGCAGAGGGCTTTTAACCCCTTAACGCTGTTACGGCGTTCTATGCCCTCCCCATTTAAATGTGCTTTAAAGCCGTTGCGGCGGCATAGAACACCGTAACAGCTGAAGCCCCTGGAGCGCCCGGGATACTCACCTTCCCGGCGCTCCACTTCGGGAGGACTGCCTGACAGCTCATTTCTATCTATATCTATTATAAATATAATATACACACATCTTATATATATGTAACGTGATACGTAATGCATTTTAATATTAAGTATATATGAGTATTAAAATACACTTAGAATGACGTTACATATATAAGATATATACACATTATATATACACGTATAATTACAATACATAAAATAAATTGAAACAAAATTTAATCTAAATTATATATTCATATGTAATTTAATTCTAACTATTTTGTTAATATATAGGTAACAAAATACACTTAGAATGACATTCTATATATATAAAAATACAAATAACCGCATATTATATATAGATTATATACACACATATATATATATATATATATATATATATATATATATATATATATATATATATATATATATATATATATATATACACACACACACACATACACACTTGTTATATCCATCTCTCTATATATAAAATACAAATAACCGCATACATATACATAAGATTACATTAGTATACACGTAGAATTTAAATACCTATAAATGCATATATTAAAATTCTACATGTATATTTAAGTAATCTTTTAACATAATGTGATTTGATTAATTAAAATTTGATTGACATGCCTGACAGAGGGAGAATGTGCAGAGAATTTAATTCGCAAGCACTATATGTGACCCTGTAACTCTCCAAGACACCATAAAACCTGTACATGGGGCGTACTGTTTTTGACTTTTTATTACTGTTTTATTATTGTTGTAATATGTTTTACTGTTTTAACCCCTTAAGGACTGGACTGTTTTTGCGATGTTGTACATTTGCGACCAGGCATATTTTTACACTTTTGTGGTGTTTGTGTTTGGCTGGAATTTTCCGCTCTCTCATTTACTGTTCCCATACAAATTATATATTGTTTTTTTCAGGACAAAAGGGGCTTTCTTTACATACCATTATTTATATAATCTCTTGTATTTTAATTTTAAAAAAAATAAAAAAATATGATGAAAAATTGAAAAAAATACATGTTTTTGACTTTTACTTGAAAAAGCTTTTACTCATCTACAAAAGCGAATTAAAAAAACTGCTAAATAGATTCAAAATTTTGTCCTGAGTTTAAAAATACCCCGTGTTTACATGCTTTTTTGCTTTTTTTTGCATGTTATAGGGCTATAGGTACAAGTAGAATATTGCGGTTTCAAAACATAAATTTTTAAAATTTATCAATAGTGACATTGTAACACTATTATCTGTCATAAATCTCTGAATAACACCCCACATGTACATATTTTTTTTAAAGTAGACAACCCAGGGTATTCAATATGGGGTATGTCCAGTCTTTTTTAGTAGCCACTTAGTCGAAAACACTGGCCAAAGTAAGCATTCATATTTGTTTGTGTGTGAAAAAAGTAAAAAAACTAAATTGAACGCTAATTTTGGCCAGTGTTTGTGACCAAGTGGTTACTAAAAAAGACTGGACATACCCCATTTGCAATACCTTGGGTTGTCTTCTTTTGCAAATGGTATGCCATCATGGGGGTAATTCTCATTCCTGGGCTACCATACGCTCTCAAAGGCAACGTAACCAACCTGGCCATTTTCAATGTAAAAATATTTGACCCATATATTTGACCTTGTAACTTTCAAAAATACTATAAAACCTGTACATGGGGGGTACTGTTTTACTCAGGAGACTTTGCTGAACACAAATATTAGTGTTTAAAAACTGGAAAATGTATCACAACAATATCATCAGTAAAAGTGCTGTTTGTGTGTGAAAAATGCAAAAAAAAGTCACTTTCACTGACAATATCATCGCTGTGATATGGTTTACTGTTTTGAATCACTAATATTTGTGTTCAGCAAAGTCTCCCGAGTAAAACAGTACCCCCCATGTACAGGTTTTAGGGTGTCGTAGAACGTTACAGGGTAAAATACAGTGCTAGCAAATTTAATTCTCTGGAATTTCGGCCTGGGTTGGCAGGCAGGTCCCTTAAATTGCAATCAATAAAATTACTGAATTATGTAAAACTATTACATAAATACGCACGTAGAATTTAAATATATATGCATATTTATATATTTGAAGTCTACGTGTATATTTATATAATTATTTATGTAATTTTGTATATGGACATATGTATATTTCTTATTATTTTTATTTATTTTTATATACATAGATATATATACAAATTCATTCTAAGTGTATTTTGATATAAATATATATATTAATTTTAAAATACAGTTAGAATAAAATTTCATATAGATATATTTATTTTTATTATTATTTAAAAAAAATTTTATTTAATTTAAATTACTTATTATTTATATTTTATAATAATATATACACACACAATATATATATAGTTATTATATATATACATGTGTAATTTAATTATAAGTGTATTTTTATATTAATATAAGTACATATTAATATAAAAATACACTTAGTATGGCATTATATAGATATATTATATGTCTATATATCATATATACACATATATAATTATTATTTTATTTTTTTTTATTAACACTAACTTTATTTTTTTTTACTGATTTTACACTAGCAGGGAGACTGCCTGTCAGCACAGGCAGTCCCCCTGCAGGCAGCACTATGGACACCTATTGTGACCATGTGATCGCTGTGTTAAGCGATCACATGGCCACAGGGGTCCTAAATCAGTGTGGGGAGACTGTCTGGGCTGCAGGCAGTCTCCCCACAACCGGAGCAACACTGATCGCCGCCGGGGGAACGACGGCGATCAGGTAAGTACCCCCAGACCGTTAGGACGGTTCAGGACCGTCATCGGTCCTCAAGGCAAAAATGCCGATGACGGTCCTGAACCGTCCTCGGTCGCTAAGGGGTTAAAACACTAATATTTGTGTTTAGTGAAGTCTCCCGAGAATAACAGTACCCCCCATGTACAGGTTTTATGGTGTTTTGGAAATCTAGAGAGAGTCACATATAAGGCTTGCATTTCATTTTTTTGACATTGAAATACAAATTCAAAGCTAAAATGTCAGACGGAAATACAAATTAAAAAACAAAAAAATAAAATCTTTTTTTTACATTTTATTCATAATAAATTATGTTCCATATATGAATAGTTAAAGGACCACTATAGTGCCAGGAAAACAGGGTTAAACCTAGGTGGACCAGGCACCCATACCTCTTCATTAAGCTGAAGTGGTCTGGGTGCCTATAGTGGTCCTTTAATGATAAATTAAAGCCCCGTTTCTCCTGAACAAAATGATATATAATAAGTGTGGGTGCACTTAATGTGACAGCGGTGAATTACGGTTGAACAGACATAGCGCAAATTCCAGTTTTTGTTTAGATCAGAACATGCACTATTGACTCCGTCCTGAATGGGTTAAATAGGATTTTTTGTGTGGGGTATGATCAAAATACCACCTCTCACTTCCTTTAAAAATGAAGGACTAAACTACAAAGGGCAGTTTTGCAGGAAACACATTCAGAATATCATTAACTTTTATAGCATACACTACTGAAGACATTTTACTGAGTATTTTACTACAAATAAGGACTGATGGCGGCGATCCTTTCACATGCAATTGCAGATTTTATCAACACCTTTAAAGAGAGAGTCACTATAAGCATTTGAATTATAGCACCTGGAACTATTCCTCCATTTAGTGTTAAATCATTTTTGAGCAGTTTAACACTGAATGACAATCCCTGGCTTCCCATAGCCCTATTCCCACTAGTGATGTGGCTAAGGCAGAGAGATTACAAACTTTCTTCTAACCAGATCAATTTTCTACATGGATGGACATTGTGATAAACTGAAAGCAGTCTGCTGACACACTCATCCAATCACAGCAGCATAATGCAATAGAGATCTATTGCATTGCTTAACCTTTTTAATGAATACTGATCACCTCTCCAGCATTGTCACAGCTGCCACAATCTAGATTCTGAGTGTTACACTGGTGTTAACACTATTCCTTACTACATTCCATCCAAATCCTATATGACTTATCGGCAAATAATTGTTTCACATTGTTGCCCGTGCCACACTTGCTTCAAAGTAAGCAGAACTACTAGAAGGATGAAGCTTGTGCTTACTACGCATGCCATTCAACATCCACTATGTCAACAGTGTGCGTTTTGTCCAAATACTAAAGCTATGAATAATGAATTATACACACATTATAAAAAAAAAAAAACAAAGCGCAAGACTTGCATACAACTTTTTAGCGGTAGAGTTTACACAAGTCAGCCAACTCCAATCACAAGCATGCTATTATGGTCTATGAAATGGTTTTGTTCCATGTGAGCCCCTGTCAAGCAGGAATTTATGGGATAGGTCCGTTATCGGCCATGAGCAGTGCCACATAGAATGAGTGGAGCTGCTCTATAAACGGATAGCCTTCTACCATGGCCACAGTTTGGGATATCTGGAATCTCCCCATAAAGAAAAGATGCTTCCTATTTGTGCGTCACCGTGCGCAAGCCATACTCACAAATTACACAAACAACGGATCTTTCTAAACAAGTAGAGAAAAGTCTTGTCGAATCTGAGAAGTCTTGACATGACTCAAGCCCATGAACAGGGACACTCCACTGCCCAAATACCGTATATACTCGAGTATAAGCCGAGTTTTTCAGCACATTTTTTGTGCTGAAAAACCCCAACTCGGCTTATACTCGAGTCAGTCTGTATTATGGCAATTTACATTGCCATAATACAGACTGGGGGCTGGCAGAGCTGTTACTTACCTCTCCTGCAGCTCCTGCCAGCTCTCTCCTCCTCCGCGCCGGTCCGTGCAGCACCTCGATCAGCTCCCAGTGTAAGTCTCGCGAGAGCCGCAGGGTCATAGTGCGGCTCTCGCGAGACTTACAGAGTGAGCTGAGAGAAGAGCTGCACGGACCGGCGCGGAGGAGGAGAGAGCTGACAGGAGCTGCAGGAGAGGTAAGTAACAGCTCTGCCAGCCCCCTCCTCCCCCCACTGAACTGCCAATGCCACTGGACCACCAGGGAAGGAGAGCCCCCCTCCCTGCCATGTATCAAGCAGGGAGGGGGGACAACAAAATATATAAATATAATAATATATTAATAATAATAAAAATAATATAAATAATAATAAAAAAATAATAATAATATAACAAAACAAATTAAAATATAAAAAAAAATTTTTTTTATAAAAATGCCCACCCCCCCACCAAGGCTCTGCAACACAAAACACACTGCATTCACACACTGCACACTCATACACACACACTGCGCACTCATACACACACACTGCATTCATCATATACACACACTGTAAATAAATATTCAATTAATATAATTTATTTAGGATCTAATTTTATTTAGAAATTTACCAGTAGCTGCTGCATTTCCCACCCTAGTCTTATACTCGAGTCAATACGTTTTCCCAGTTTTTTGGAGTAAAATTAGGGGCCTCGGCTTATATTCGGGTCGGCTTATACTCGAGTATATACGGTACAAATCACTGTTTAGTAGGTATCCCCAATGAAAACTTGCATGCATTTTATCATTGGGTTAGATCTAAAAACAGTTTACTATAGCTGCAGATATCTTGTCTGCAGCCTTTGCTAACCCTTCCCTTCAAACCCAGCCCAGACTTTCTGTGGCTGACCAATCACAGACTTCCCAATGCAGCTCAGTGCGGGCAGTTGCGGCTTCTTGAGTTTAATTTCAACTGAAATCTGCACTTTTGGCAAAATGAAAAAATAAATTAAAATGGAAGGAAAAAAATAAATAGACGACGCACTCTTCACACAAAGCTAAAGTACTTTAGGGGTCTGGAGTATCCCTGTAAGCAAAGTTTTCCAACACCACTCAGCTCTAATAAAGGGACCTAATAATGCAAGACACATCCAGTTTTAAGAATTGTGTAATTTTGGATTTCAAAAAAATAAAAAAATAAAAGCTGAATGCATACATTTCAACTTACTACTGTCAGCATAAGGAAAATTGGATATTCCTTACCTGTTGTCATCACAGGAGATATTATCGAAAAAAGATTTGGTTTTGTCATAGTAGCTGCTTGTTGCACCAACCCCCACTGCCTCTTCTTCCTCGGCATTGCCTTCGCTGTTCTGTGTGTCTACCCCAGAGTCAGCTTTTTCCTCCCCATTGACTGGTTTCTCTGGTTTGTCATCTGAAAGAAAGATAATGTTATAATGTAGAAACTAAGATACTAAAAAATACTATCAGATTCCAACATTGAAATAAAGAAAGTGGGAGTTTACTTACTACAATTTGTTACATTTCCTACTTAATTCATCCAGGGCAGCTAAAACTGTTTGCTTTACATAATTGAAGGAAACACAGAAGCTGCTTACATTAAATCAGCCTGTCTGATTTATAGAACCTGGTTGTAGAATTGGTCAAGCAGTGTTTGCAGGTTTTACATTCAAGGAGACTGGTGTTGGATCTAGGGAGCAGCAGAAGTTAGGTTTTAGTATGCTTTTGTCACCTTTTAACTTAAGTTTGTTGTGAAATTCTCTGTCAATTTCCTCCTTATTGAACTGTGCGTTTGCACTTTCAAAGTCAAAATCTTTCTCAAACTTCATAGGCCCGTCTCTTCTGATGCCAAACTTCCCACGACCACCCCGATGTCCACCACGTCCCCTCCTGGGCTGAGGAGCACCTGGTCCTGTGATAAGTGGATATATTAAGAAATGCAACATACACAAGTGATTTTCTAGATTTTAGAAAAAAAGAAAGCGGCTAATCTTTCATTACCTGCCTGTCTCCTATTTGGATCTCTATCATTCCTCAGCTGTTCAGGGTCAGGTTTCAACACCCTCTGTGAATCAGCTGCAAAAACCAAGATAGACACAGAGCATGAGGTTGATGCCAGCCCATATGTTGTTCTGGTTTAATACATTAGAGCACATTTACCTTTTCTTTGTTCTGGACTTTCAAGAGTCTTTTGGGTCGTGAGTGGGAGTGATCTTGAGCTAACTGGACTCCTTGCCGTGGCAGCTGCAACATGGGTTGAAGATGCTACCTGTATGCTCTGCTCAAGTGAAGGACTCTTTCGCAAAGGATCGAATGAAGGACTTGAACGACCTACAAAGTGGACAAAAGCGAGATCATCTACATACTCTGAACTGAAACCTGCTATTAAAATGAAAATGTTTATATTATACTTCGTGCAAATTAAATTCAAAATGCAACACATGAAAATATGTTGCTCATCTTTAGTGTCTTATGGTAAACACTATGGGCCCAGAGGTAGGTCGATCATTGGTGCAGCTTAAGTTTATATGTTGTCTAGAAGATAAAGTCTCCTTGGACACTTTTCAGTGATCTGCTACCTTTAAGTCTGCCCTTTCTTCTAGCCAATAATGAAATTGTGACTAAGTTACTACTGTACACCAAGTAACTATTCAGTGAGACATTGGTGGGGACTGGGTACCTACAGTGTTCCATTTAAATCTGGTTAATCCACTATGGGCAAAAAAAAAAAAAAAAAAAGGTTCTTAAAACAACTCGGTACCAAACTATAACCTGTGATTTGCTGATCACGTACACACTTTCCATTTGGGAGGAAAGATTAAAAGATGCTTGGAATACTGTTAACAGGGTGCCTAATATATCCAGCTTTTGAAGAGCTGCATAGTCATTTTCTGATGACAGCCACTCAAGGCTTTTTTGTTTTCTTTTTCAAAGGGACAAGTCTATTCAAGTAAATAAATAAAATGTAGCTCACTAACCTTGAGACAGCTGAGTTTTCAGGGTCCTTGGTTCTTGTGCAAAAGATGCCCCAACAGTACTACTTTGTGGTAACGGAGCACTGCTAGTAGTTTCTGTGCCAAATGATGCCAGAGAGCTTCCTGCATTCGAGAGAATATAAATGGTCAATGTGGGTTCTATATAAAGATCTTGAGAAAAATATCTGATCTTGATAACACAAACCCTAATGATGGGGGGGGGGGGAGAGGAGATTTTTTTTTTTTTTTTTAAATTCCAAACTATATTAAGAAAAAATAAAATAAAAAAAATGTTTAAATCAAAAATACTAGACTAAATAAGTCACCCGTAAAAGAGAAAGACCACAGTAATCAGTCTGGAGTCGCTACCAATATGGCAGTATTATAAAGGTTTTATGAATGACAGTGTACGTGCAGTTACGTCACAAAGCCTAATAAAGTACACTGGCAGCACGAGGGATAAGTTAAGAAATATGCCAAGGATGCAAGAAAAATATTTGCATATATATTTTCAACCGCTCAAGTTGCTATTAGTACACATTGAAGGGATTTCTATATATAGTGTTAGGAATACAATGGTTTTTTTTTTTTTTTTAAGCATGGCTTATTAATGCATTACATTGAACTTCCTTTTTAAGAGCCCAAGTTGTTTATGTAGATTAGGAAAACGCAATATGAAACTGTGAAAACTACGACCAAAACCACTGCCAAGTTATGTTTGTGAACCTTATAAGCTGGTAATGGATTTGAAAAGCATAGGCTTAAAACACAGATGGAAAATTAATATGCTTATAGAATAGCCAAAATTACACAATATAATTCATAAATTTATTGGGAAAAAAAAAATCCTCTTCTTACTATACATTTTGGCAGTCCTATCTAACCCCATCTACCACTGAATGAATTTCTCAATTTAAACTTTTTTTATTTTTAAAGAAACTGGGATGAGAAAATAAGAAAAATAAAACATACCAACTCCCACAGCACCAAACTGCTGTCCAACAAGAGGACTGGGACTGAACTGGCTGTATGCCGGCATTCTGCCAAAGGGCCCATAAGAGCTCACCGGCTGGAATGAGGAAGTTGAAGGGGAACCTAGTGAAGACTAGAGAGAAGATGCATGTTACACATATAGAAGTTCCTTGCACAGGTCAATATTATAGCTAGGATATATATATATATTTTTTTTTTATTCAACTTTATTTAAAATTTCTCCCACAACATTATTCAACCCTTTCCTATAGGGATTTCGGTGATGCTGGAAGTCCTCATGCATAGCGTAAGGACGTCCAGCATCGTCTAGGAGACCAAGAGTCGTCTATCCACCTGGAAGTCCCTCTAGTGGCTGTCTGGTAGAGTTAACCCAAGCAGGTAATTATTGCACTTTATAAAAACTGCAATAATTACATGCTCAGGGTTAAAGTTGATGGGAGTTTGCACTCAGACCACTTCAATGAGCTGAAGTGGTCTGGGTGCCTATAGTGACCCATTTTTTTTTTAGTAAATGTCATAACAAAATATCAACCAGTCACCTGGACAATAGCTGGGTCCTGAGGCAGCGAGCACTGGGGTTTTGGAGGCTCACAAACTGTTAGGTCCTTAATATCACTCCCGCGAAATATGATATATTCAAAAATTTCATCGCGAGGAGGTATAGGTCGCTCTGTTGGTCGATCCTCTGTTCCAAATGAACGAACTGAAAAAAAAAAATATATATATATATATTTTATAATCAACATAACGACATTCAGATCATTAGCTTCTTAACCACACAAATCAAGTTAGCCAATTTTAATATAGGATATCATTATATGACACCTATAAGCTTGAGCCTTGGAATCAAGATAAATTCTATCACAAAACACAGACATGCAACAGTCATATGTATATCCTCATTGTGTAAGGAGTAAAAGGTGAAAACAAACAATGTCTCCAGGGTGACGTCCATGGAACGATCAAACAGTCCAACACATTTAACATTCACAATGTAATAAACATAGCTGCCATCACAGAGATGGCAAAAAATGGTTTACAGCACGACTGACCAGAAGACACGCCACCTCCCCCCATTAATGCTTTCCTATAGCGTTTTGTTTGACACCGAGTGTCCACATGCAAAGAGTAAGGACTTGAGCGTTGTTTCATGGAGTCAAACTTTGTGGAACTGCAGGAAGCGCCTCTAGTGGATCTTTGGGAGACAGCCACTAGTTGCAGTCTTAGCACTGCCAGGCTAATGGGGACAGGGACACTGCACCAAGATCACTTCAATGAGATGAAGTGGTTTGGATTCCTATAGTGTCCCTTTCTATGTCAACAAAGAGACTAAAAATGTTCCATAACATGACAGCACAAAAGCATCCATCTGTGACTAAAGTACTCTCGTGCTTTTGCACGCAAACAGAACACGTGGCAATTGTACTGGGAAGGCTAATACAACGAAACTGACACAGGACAAAGGAATAGGATTCAATAACGAGGAAAATGACATTCTCCCACGTCTGAACATTAAATCCACTAATATTTCAGAGGCTGTGGTTTTAGAATTACAGTTCTCCAAAGAGATGTTCATGAAGAGAATACAAGCCACACAAAAACGTACTGTATGTCTCTCTGCAGTGGAAGAACCCCCCTCTCCCGATCTCCACATAATGCTTTTAAACTTTACATTTCATTTTCAATGACAGAAGTACAGTTGTTAAAAGGGACACCATATTCACCAGAACCATTACAACTTAATGTATTGGTTCTTGTGTCTATATCCTGTCCCTGCAGGCTTTTCAATGTAAACATTGCCTTTTCAGAGGCAGTGTTTATATTGCTGCCGAGTAACACCTCTAGTGACAGTCACTCACATAGACAGTAGAGGTGATTCCTAGTCCAGTATCTCAACCCTCTGCAATGAGGCACAAAATCTTCCCCATAGGAGGTGCATTGATTATATATGCATCTATCTCCATGAGGAGATGTTGACTTGTGCAGTGAAGAATTTTTTCGCGCATGTGTAATAACCTCCCAATGCTTTCCTATGGGAAAGCATTCGCTTGGTTGAGATCAAGATTGATAATCTCAGCCATGACGACACAGGTAGAGCGTGAAAAAAAAAAAAAAAAAAGACGATTCTCAGAACCATTTTTAAATAAATCTATTTTTCATTTTGCAATGCCCTCTTGGCCATTAGCAACTAGGTCCCTCAACCCGCCTTTATAAACCTGTATACCAAGAATAAAACATATCAGGAATCCAGTGCCACCCAAAACTCCACACTCCAATTTACAATGCCCCATTCAACGCCTCTGCATTCTCTTGAGAGGCATTTGTTTGGACCATTAACCCTGGCTCAAAGTGTGCACGCTATGAGCAGGGAGAGAGTGGAGGGTGAACATAGGGTCGAATTTACAAAATTTCAAAACAAACAGGCTGGGGAAGAAGGGCTTGTAAAGGCTGCAAACAATAGATTTACAGCTTTTGCAAGTGGTTTTTAGATATATCACCAATGAAAAAAAAGAATTATACAAATAAATGTTTATTTGGGGTGTATCAATTAAAAATGTATTTTTGCTATTTAAGCCATAGAGTCTCTTAAGTCTCTTCCCAAAGGTCTGCCCCACAAAAATCTAATCTCTTCACCAACCGTCAGTTCTCCCACCCATAAGCACTCAGGACTCCCCTTCAGTAAGTGATAGGCAGACAATGATAGATACTCAAATCTCTCATAAGCACTGTCCCCATATTCCACACACACACACACACACCATCAGAACTTAAGTTTGTTAATTTATTTTTATCTTTTTAACAATTGGCACAAGTGTCTCCATAGTTTCAGTTCTGACTATTGGTACCAGAGTAAGCCCTACAAGCACTGGAGTCTACCCCCACAATAGGCATTCACGTATGTAAGAATATGGTCAGTCTCCACACAGTCTGACCACCAGCACGGACACTAATCAAACTCATTACACAGTCATGTCATCAGCACGGGAGCACTGAGAATCTCTCCACAAACTCAGGTTTTCTTCACACAGGGTACCTCTCCATATAGACAGGCCTCCCCCATAGGCACAGGGTCCCTCTCCATATAGACAGGCCTCCCCCATAGACAGGCCACCAGCATAGGCACAGGGTACCTCTCCATATAGACAGCCCCCCCCCCCATAGGCACATGGTACCTCTCCATATAGACAGGCCTCCCCCATAGGCACAGGGTACCTCTCCATATAAACAGGCCTCCCCCATAGGCACAGGGTACCTCTCCATATAGACAGGCCTACCCCATAGGCACAGGGTACCTCTCCATGTAGACAGGCCACCCCCATAGGCACAGGGTACCTCTCCATATAGACAGGCCACCCCCATAGGCACAGGGTACCTCTCCATATAGACAGGCCACCCCCATAGGCACAGGGTACCTCTCCATATAGACAGGCCACCCCCCTAGGCACAGGGTACCTCTCCATATAGACAGGCCCCCCACTTAGGCTGGGGTACCTCTCACATATAGACAGGCCATAGGTACAGGGTACCTCTCCATATAGACAGGCCACCCCATAGGCGCAGTTACCTCTCCATGTAGACAGGCCACCCTCATAGGCTGGGAATTACCTCTCCATGTAGACAGGCCACCCCATAGGCACAGGGTACCTCTCCATGTAGACAGGCCACCCCCATAGGCACAGGGTACCTCTCCATATAGACAGGCCACCCCCATAGGCACAGGGTACCTCTCCATATAGACAGGCCACCCCCATAGGCACAGGGTACCTCTCCATATAGACAGGCCTCCCCCATAGGCACAGGGTACCTCTCCATATAGACAGGCCTCCCCCATAGGCACAGGGTACCTCTCCATATAGACAGGCCTCCCCCATAGGCACAGGGTACCTCTCCATGTAGACAGGCCACCCCCATAGGCACAGGGTACCTCTCCATGTAGACAGGCCACCCCCATAGGCACAGGGTACCTCTCCATGTAGACAGGCCACCCCCATAGGCACAGGGTACCTCTCCATATAGACAGGCCACCCCCATAGGCACAGGGTACCTCTCCATATAGACAGGCCACCCCCATAGGCACAGGGTCCCTCTCCATATAGACAGGCCACCCCCATAGGCACAGGGTACCTCTCCATATAGACAGGCCACCCCCATAGGCACAGGGTACCTCTCCATATAGACAGGCCTACCCCATAGGCACAGGGTACCTCTCCATGTAGACAGGCCACCCCCATAGGCACAGGGTACCTCTCCATGTAGACAGGCCACCCCCATAGGCACAGGGTACCTCTCCATATAGACAGGCCACCCCCATAGGCACAGGGTACCTCTCCATATAGACAGGCCACCCCCATAGGCACAGGGTACCTCTCCATATAGACAGGCCTCCCCCATAGGCACAGGGTACCTCTCCATATAGACAGGCCTCCCCCATAGGCACAGGGTACCTCTCCATATAGACAGGCCTCCCCCATAGGCACAGGGTACCTCTCCATATAGACAGGCCTCCCCAGTGTAAGGCACAGGGCACCTCCATGTAGATTGTACACCCCCATAAAGGCACAGTGGCACCTCCATATAGACAGCCCCCATAGCACAGGGTACTCACAGGACAGGCCACCCCCATAGGCACAGGGTACCTCTCCATATAGACAGGCCACCCCCATAGGCACAGGGTACCTCTCCATATAGACAGGCCACCCCCATAGGCACAGGGTCCCTCTCCATATAGACAGGCCACCCCCATAGGCACAGGGTACCTCTCCATATAGACAGGCCACCCCCATAGGCACAGGGTACCTCTCCATATAGACAGGCCTCCCCCATAGGCACAGGGTACCTCTCCATGTAGACAGGCCACCCCCATAGGCACAGGGTACCTCTCCATATAGACAGGCCACCCCCAAAGGCACAGGGTACCTCTCCATATAGACAGGCCTCCCCCATAGGCACAAGGTACCTCTCCATATAGACAGGCCTCCCCCATAGGCACAGGGTACCTCTCCATATAGACAGGCCACCCCCATAGGCACAGGGTACCTCTCCATATAGACAGCCCCCCATAATGAAGGTTCAATTCTCCCCCCGAACCGCCTCCATCTTTGTTGTTGTCACCATGAAGGCCGGTCCTGGCTCTCAGTATCCACCCCCCCCCAGACAGACCCCCTGTGTCCCGGCCCCTCCCCTTGTCCCCCAGGCCGCAGCCCGGGCTCGCCTTACCTTTGGCCAGGGCCACGGTGGAGTTCTCGGTGTCGATGGTGTATAAAATGCCCTCATATCGGATCTCCGCCTTGGAGATCAGGCTGATCTTGCTGCCGATGTACGGAGTGCCCCCGCTCATGGTGTCTCCCGGGCCGGATGGATGTGGATTGCGGGGCCCCGGGTCCTCCCTTCCTCCCTGTATTCCTGCCTGCGTTCGCCGTCAAGGGCCTAAACTAACATGGCCGCCAGTGCCTTCATGTTCTCCCGCTAGGGACGCCGGGAGGATAATCTCGCGAGATTCGACGCCTGGCTGGCAAAGGCTATATCCGTGTGCCAACCACAGCTCTTAAAGGAGACCTGACCTACTTCCGGTCAGATGTAGGTAACTACAAAGAACATACAGCCTCTACTCTGGCCAATGGCTGTTCCACATGGATTAGCTTTTTTTTTTTTTTTTTAAATATATATATTTTTTTTATTCTGTTTATCTGTGCATAAAAAATAACCAATAAATTAAAAAAAGCAGAGAGTGAGCAAAGTTAGGCATCATTTTTCAGAACACTTGAATGCTTAGAATTGATATGCCACAGGATTGAACATTAACCATGATGTTTAAATTGGATTTATTTCTACAGTATGTAGACGATGCATACCTCCCATGTGTCCCGGATCCAACAAAAAAGTCCCGATTTGAGACTCTTCTTCTACTAGGCAAGGTTAACGTATGGAGAGAGCGCGCATTGTGCTATAAAACAAACCTGTGGTGGCACATCGCTTTGCCAGAGCATTTCTTCCCATATGAGTACAGCACTTTACACAGGCCGTCCTGATTGGCAAGCTTTGAGCACTGCCTGCCAAACCCAGGTATTTAGGCAATAGAATGACACGCCATTTTCATGGCTTCTGCGTGCCATCATTGGAAAAAAATGTGCCTTTAGTGCACCACCATTACAACTTCAGCCTTTCTCAACTCGATCATGACAAACTGGACGCAGAGTGTTAAAGGGACACCATATTCACAAAACCAACGTTAGCTTAATGAAGCAGTTTTGGTGTGTAGTTCATGCCTCTGCAGTCTCACTGTTCTTTTCTCTGCCATTTATGAATTAAATCACTTTTGTTTCTGTTTATGCTGCACTAGCCACATCTCCCCTAGCTGTGAATGGCAAAGACTTCATGAAAAAAAATGACTTAATTTTCAATAAGATGTTTATTTACTTTAGACGTTTTTAACTCCTGCTCTGTAAATTGAACTTTAATAACACACAGGGGGCTCCTAAAGGGTCTAGAAGGCAGGTGAAAAATTCTAAATTAAACAGAATTTGTAATAAAGGAAGTGTAAGCAGTAGATCACTCTTTACAGGAAGTGTTTAAGAAGAATGTGTAAGTCACATCTATGGAGGTGTGGCTAGGGCTGCATAAACAAAGTGATTTAACTCCTAAATGGCAGAGAATTGAGCAGTGAGAGTGCAGGGGCATGATCTATAAACCAAAACTGCTTCATAAAGCAAAAGTTGTTTTGGTGACAACATGCCTACTGTGTCCTTTTAACCACTTTCTCAAATCTGGTAAATCTACCCTGATTAACCTAAACACTTGAGTTTCATTATATATATATATATATATATATATATATTATTTTATTTTTTTGAACTTACATCTTTCTTCTCCTTTTTGCCTTGTTTACATTATGTCTTTTTAGCATTCTCATAATCATGATGGATCTCTACAAAGTATGTTTTACATGTGCCGTCCATTAACTGATCATTCTTCTCACTATTTAATTTTTTTTGTTCCTTCTCATTGTGCTGTGTCTGGGATAATGTGCGCATGTGCATCAAAAACGTAAGGCTGCATTATCCCTCTCATTTGCTTTTTTGTAGTATACAGAATTGATGCTGCAGTCTTTCCTTTACATTAGGTGTTGTACAAATGGCTATATTTCTTTTTAACTTACCTTAATGAGTTCCCCTGGCTTTTTTTCCTACAAAATTCAAGGTTTCTGTTAACAGACTCCATGTCTTAGTATTCTGAATCCCTCCTTCCCATGGTATACCAAAACCCGCGCACAGATGAACCCGGCTTCCCAGCATCATCCATCCAAATAATTTGTCTTTCTACAATACTTTTTTGTGATTGCTGTCTACCGTATTTACTCGAGTATAAGTCGACCCGAATATAAGTCGAGCCCCCTAATTTTACCCTAAAAAACTGGGAAAACTTATTGACTCGAGAATAAGACTAGGGTGGGATATGCAGCAGCTACTGGTAAATTTCTAAATAAAATTATATCCCCCAAAAATTATATTAATTGAATATTTATATACAGTGTGTGTGTGTGTATATTGTGGCAAACCTAGCCACTTTTAGGTTACTGGACTATATTTGCAAAAGGATGTCTGTAATAGCCGCTGGATTGTATATTGTAATGTCTGCCTGTGCTGATATGTTTTAGAGCATTCGTATGCTAGCAGCCGAAAGACGCTAGCATTCAGACTTTACCAGCTGTTCGTGAAACAAATGAGCTACCACCCAGTAGCCCACACACAGAGGGTCGTGTGGCACCCATTAACCGATTGCAACAATGTTAAGGGCTTTCCTAGGTGGCCGTCGTTCGGCAACCGACCACGCGGCGGTCGGCCATCTTGGATCCTTTGTTTCACCAGCGGTGTTTGGTCGTCGAGCGCATGGAGCTGAAATCGGCTACTCGATGGCGCGAACACCGCTGGGCTTCCAGGCCGTTCGGGAGCTCCGGTCTTTCGCTATTATGGTTCCCCATCGGTGTTTGGTACTTTTAGGTGAACACAATGTTAACGTGTATTTCCTGCGGCGTTCGGTTATTTATGCTGGGATCTGAGCGGTATTCTCACAAAATGTGCGCTCAGACCCCAGCTATCTACCAAACGTCCATTCGTTTAAATAAAGTGAATGATGGCAAAGTTATGTATTTTAAGGTAAAATGTCGGTTCTGCTGCACGGAGGGATAATCCACTTAACAGTATATTCCAGTGGGAGTATCCCTCTCATCCAACAGTGCCTGATGGGAGAAATGTCCAGATCGTTACATCTCCAATGTAGTCCCCTACTGTATAACCCCTGCAATGCCAGTAGGGAAACCCCTTGCATGGGGACTTGCATAAATACTGTGACCTATGAATAAAAACTTCAGTTGACTCCCAGAACTGTGTTTCGTCCGGTTACTGGGAGATTTGGGATATTGCCTTACTTTTCAGCACTTGACTTTGGATTACCTTCTGTACCAGCGGAGATCGTGGAATTTAATATTGCAGCTCCGCTACATATATAATGCAGTGTGTTTGTATGAATGGAGTGTGTGTGTGTGTGTGTGTATGAGTGCAGTGTGTGTATGAGTTCAGTGTGTGTGTGTGTATGAGTGCATGAGTGCAGTGTGTGTGATGCAGAGTGTGTTTGTGTGTGCGATGCAGAGCCTTGGTGGGGGGTGTGCATTTTTATAAATTTTTTAAAATTATTATTTTAATATTAATTTACATTTTTTAATATCATTATTATTTAAATCTTTATTTATATTTATTTTTGTCCCCCCTCCCTGCTTGTTAGCTGGCCATGGAGGGGGGGCTCTCATTCTCTGTTGGTCTAGTGGCATTGGCTGTGTAGGAGGGGGGGCTGGCAGGAAGCTGTAACTTACCTTTCCTGCAGCTCCTGTCAGCTCCCTTCTCTTTCCTCTGGTCCGGTCAGCTCCCATCAGTCTGGCGGTCCGAGTGCCGCGCGGAGCGCTGCCACGGTAATCCGTGGCAACGCTCTGAACCCGCGGCTCTAGCGAGACTTACAGTGGAGCTGACAGGGGAGCTGACCAGACCGGAGGAGAGAGAACGGAGCTGACAGGAGCTGCAGGAAAGGTAAGTTACAGCTCTCTGCCAGCCCCCAACAGGACCGCCGGGCTTGTAATGAGCCCGGCGGTCCTTGTCTGTATTATGGCAATGTAAGTTGCCATAATACAGACAGTGACTCGAGTATAAGACGAGTGGGGGTTTTTCAGCACAAAAAATGTGCTGAAAAATTCGTCCTTTACTCGAGTATATACGGTATTCTCTATAGTCATTTTACCAGCAAGCAATGGACTCTCATCAGTTTGTGATCTTTTGAACTCTACCGAAACTGCGCTTATCAAAGTAACTTAGGATTTAAAAAGGTTTAGCACCATAACCACAACAGTTATGTACATTGGTTATGGTGCAATTTCTATATGAGAGTCATCCCACATTTTCTTGTTATGCTGTTGTGGAATGTTTTGGCAAAAAAAGTACCCATACATTGTCCCCTGCATCTCCACTGATAATGCTGAATTTTTCTTTGTGGATTATCAGAATCAATTCTGGCCAATCTTGACAGCAATGATAGGCTAAAAGCACTGGGATGGGTTAGATACATTATAGATGACAACAGGACTGTTTTTTAGTGATAGTAATCTATTATGATTAGAGAACGTAATTAGCTAAATAATTAAAATATAAACAATAAAAAAATCTGCACTGTTTACTACTCTACACACAGATTCCTTTAACTAAAATGTTAACAAAGGAAATTTTCTCTAAAGTCTAACTCCTTAGACGACAGCCCCACAGTGTAAGTCTTTGCCTAAATGGTCTATGACGGGTTCTATTACTGTAAATGGCAGTCGTTTAGTGACCTGAATGACTAGCGGAATTAAAATATCATTCCTTTCAAAGCAATCGCAAAACACACTGTGCCATAAGGGTGATTTTATTTCTTTATTTAAAACCAGATGCACAGAATAATCCACAAACAACATCAGTACGCTCCATTAAATAAAAATGATTTTTTTATTATAGAAAGAGAACTGTATTGAACGGAACCTAATATCCTGCAGCTTGAACAATCGTATTTAGACAAGCAATAATGACAGATATTTTGTATTTTATACGAAAAATCTTTGCTGCATTCCTTCATGTTTTATGTGCATGTCGTTCTCTCTCTCTCTATATATATATATATATATAGTGGTGTTGGTTCGAAGTGGAGTTGCTCTTTAAAACTGTCTGTTTTACATGCTGTGCATGAAATGGTCTGTAGCATCTGAAGTGTCTTGCAGCGAACATTTAATTGACAGAACTTTTTTTTTCAAAATTGCCGTGTTGCTCCATCCTGTCAAAATTTGAGGGGCTGTCACTTTAACTGCCTTTATATTTTTGGAATTTGCCATTGGGTAAGAAATGAAATAACAGCCCTTTTAGCTATTATTAAGTTTGAATAGCAACATCTTCAATAATTTAATTCATCTCAGTCATCTAAGATTTAGACAAATTGATATTGGATCTG